ACTCAAGTTTGTTCCTAGACAACAGTAGTTCATGAGGGGAAGAGCTCCAAATATATTTTGCTTCTCAAATGTTAACAAACTAATTAGTTTTAATCTGTGCCAACTGCTGCTGGGATATTTCATGTTTGTATTTCAGACAGTGTAGAGTAAATTGATCCAGACAGCCACACTATTTTATCTCATGTTGCATTACACATGCCTTTCTAACTCTTTAAAGGTCTGGTATTATGGCAGACATTGTAAATGGTCTTATACTTGTATAGCACTTTTCTGTACATTGCAGCACACTCAAAGCACTTTCACCCATTTCCACTCACAAACACTCACACACCGATGTTATCACCGGGAGCAACTTGGGGTTTGACTGTCTTGCTCAAGGACACTTCAACATGTTGACTGGACAAGCCGGGAATTGAACCGCTGATCCTCCAGTTAGGAAACGACCTGCCCTACCTCCTAAGCCACAGCCACCCTGTTTTCAGTTAACCAAAAAGTCACATTATTCATAAACACAAACATACACCAGTACGTGAACCTTAAACCTTAGTGGAGTGCAACTGGCATGCATCTGTAATCTCAAAATTTAATGTTAGTACATAGGGGCTAAGCTTCATTAAATATTAATGTTTATGCTATAATGTACCAGTCATTATTACAATGTGTATGTCAAAGATTGTGATGTAAAACTTCTGTTTACATATTTAAATGTATGAGATTTATAATCTACTAAAATAAGCAAATACTAGACTTCAGAAAACAAATTTAGGTGATGACAACTTGGTATCAACACCAATCAGTTTTTTACACTATTAAAACACCTGAACAACTGCTAATTTGTGGAAATCTTTGTTTTACACAAAACATTTTGTACATGTACACTAGCAGAACAAATGCACTTACTAACAAACACTCTTGACACAGAAAAGGAGTCACACATCTTTAATAACTGTTCAATAAGGTACAAATCTGGTTGGTTCCACTGAAGTCTCTGGTGTAAAACAGCTGAAGTTAGTCGTTTTTTTGTTTTGTTTTATTTCTGGGGTTTGAAGGACTGAGGTTTCCCAACCCACATTCATAGCTCACACAAGTGATGCAAGTGTCCCACAGCTAATCTTTTGGTAAGATATAAAAAGAACCAAACTTACCCAAAGACCAATTATTCACTTTAAATGTGTTAATTCAACAGCTGCTGACAGAAAAACAGTCAAGACTGGTGAAGTTATCTTTGGCCTCAGTAATGTTGATTTTCTGATATGATGTGAATGTAACAATTGTCTGCATATGTCCATTAAGAAAACTATAAATGGTGGTTAATCCACTGTAGCTGGTGGATAATTAGTGTCTGACAACAAACTGAACTGATCGTATAACAGTATAAAACTAAGAGGCGAGTTTAGGAAACCTCAGTATGTGTGCTGAAGCACTAACAGTACAAACAGCCAGCAGGAGGCGCCAACGTGAGCAGCACAAGTATGTGTGTCTCAGTCTGTGCATTAAAATTAGTTGACCTTTTATTCAGACTTACTATAATGTAACATTTAAAATGGACATTTATAACTGACCTGAATCTTTCATTCCAAATCAGATAAAAATGCTGGTTACATGAGAAATGGAATTATTTTAGTGTCTTATTTTAACACTGCTTCACTTATTTGTTAGAAGACCAGAAAATAAAGTCACTATAGTTGAAATCCGCAAAAGTATTAGCAGCACCACACCGAAAATGACGTACTGAAAATATCCTAAAATTTGCTTGAGAACAAAGAGTATTTGGTTTAAAGAGATGTAATGTCTTAAAGATGCTGCAATATTTGGAAAAAGAATTTTAAAAAAGTGGAAACACTTTGACAGTTATTAAGATTGCAGAATCTGTGTTTTTGTGGTGGCCCAGTTGACAGCTTGCTGATACCATTACCATTTATAATAGAAATGTACACACACACACTTTCATGCACAGACAAGACAACAAAGAGCAGAACAGGCTCACGTATAAACATCCAGGTTGTAAACAAAAGCTTTTCTATTATCAAAGAGTATAAAAGTGCACTGCCACGGTGCGTCCTTGAAAAACTCTCTGGAGTGACTACTGCATTAAAAAACAATTCAAACAGAAAATGTGGCATAAAAAAGTTTAAAAGATCATATTACAAAGCCTTTTGGAGTCCTGAGTTGATCAAATATAAACAAAACAAACATAAAGGCCACAGTCCCTATATCATAGAAATACAATAAAGAATTATATAAAGAACAAACATTCTGAGATGATTGGACTGTTTTCCTGCTTGGAGTCCAGTCCTCAGTCTCACAGAAAAACAGATAAAATCAATGAGTTTTCAACACATCCATGGCTCCTGTCTGGAACATTACACATTATGCAGCATACATGTTGTGGTGGTCGGCATATACAGAGTTTTACATGAGGTGCTCGTCATTTGGGAGAAGAAGCATCTTCCTCCAAAGCATACAGTTTCTAAGATTATTAAGAGATTTGTCCTGAACAAGTAATTCCAAGCTGTTTTTCCAACATAAAATTAAACTATCGTCTTTTGAAATAAAAATCGAGATGTGTTTGCGATGCTCCAAATGAAGACAAGAGAGGAAGTTGACTGTGATGGTCAGTCAGCAGAGCCTTCTTAGTCAGGTCACACTCTTCCTCATTTTCCCTTCCGCCGCTTCCAGACTGTTGGGGTTGGGCTGATATTGCATCGTCAATGTAAACTTCACTTAACATTTTGGTTTAAATTATTAAATGAACAGACTGACAACTGGGAGCAGTCCAGTAAAGCCACAGTCTTCTACTGGTGGCCACTGGAACACTTGAGTTAAGTACCTTGCTCAAAGGCACCTTGGCATTTGCTACTAAGAAAGAATTCACTCAATTTTACACTAGGATTCAAACCAAGAACCTTCTGGTGACTTTAGTCTTCTGGTGTCTGCCCTGCAACCCAAGCCCCGCATTACGTAGAAAGAATTAGCCAGATTGAAGAAACAAGCATTGCTATTTTACTATTTCATAAGAGGTTAATGCGTTTTTTAAATTTGCTTCACTGGGTTAAATATTTTCAAATCAGGTGTGGGCAGGTAGGAATTTAGGAGCAGCTTCAGGTACCTGACAGAAGCAGGCAAAGACAGATATGGGAAGCAAAGATTACCTGGAGCTGTGTTTGGGACTTCTGCCCATTCAGACACTGGTTGTGGATCGCTTCATGTGTGTCTATGTGATGTCTGATGAAAATGAGGGTGACTGTGGTTCTGTCTATGCAGCTTGTTGTGATGAAAGAATAAAAGGCTGAGGACTTTTGAAGCATTGAGTCCACGATCCACCTGCTGCTTTCAAAATTTTATCAGCCAAATATTTGGGACTTTTTAACTAAAGCTGACCACATTTACCAGCCACAGTCAGATTATACCAGCTTTGGCTAGTGGTAATTTAAAACATAATGATTAGAACTGTAAGGCTAGAGAAGCTTCGGCTTCTCGCTGTCAGATTGCTCGTTCACCTGTCATAATGTTGAAACCAGCGCAGTTGCGTTTTAACATCCACTATGTCCTTGAGAAAAGTACAGACTGTACAACTTGCATCACTGATAATGCCCTTAATCTCACAACTGAAGGAGTGCAATTATACACACATTACATAAAAGGCGCGACTAGTCTATTTAACAAGTGCACAGCGACTCCCACCCACTACATTTATTTAAAAAGACAATGCTTTTATCCCAGTTGCTACTACAAGTAGATTTTCTGAGTTGGCCTTATCGGATTGTGTAGTCATTTTAGGATACGTCTTTATACAACGTTGTAAACATTTTCTGGTTGGCTTTTAAATGTTTATCACCCTGGGCAGAATATTTTTAAATACGTTTTATATATATATATATATCTAAGTATTTTGAGTTGAAGAACCACGGCTGGAATCAGTGTCTTTTTGAACAAATTTTATAGCATGGCGTCAATGTGCAGGAGTTACATTTTTGAGTAATAGTTTGAACTTGAGTTGTGAGAATAAACCAGACAATTTCTGTAACCAGATATATTCAGCTGTGACCATCCAGCTGTGTGGAGGTCCCACAGGGACTGAGTGCAGCACCATGAATGTCTTCCAGAAGCGACAAAAACATTCACCGTTATCCCCCAAAAAGATTATTGCTTCTCATGCGTGTCTTGATGATGTTTGTGAGAATTATTGTTTCATGAAGAAGATATTAAATAAAGGCTTGCATTTTTTACCTAACTGTCTCTGGTGTCTTCTCAATCATCCCAAATCAGCTCCACCTGGTTGATAAATGTTAGGATTATTCAGCTACAAACTACTAAGAATTACAGCAACAATGTCAAACCTTTAGGGCTCAAGTTTAATGGTAAGAGAAATTTTAAGAAAGCAGAAACATCAGTCAGTCTTGTCAACAATTACCCTGATTTCTATGGTTTGTAGTGCAAAAAACCTGGCTACAGAATAAAGAACAATCTTACATCAAATTTGCCAAATCAGTTAAAGTCACTCCTTTGCCATGGGCTTATGATTACACTGACCCCCGCCAGCGCATCTTTTTCACCATAAGCTCTCTCTGGTTTCCACTACACCAAGACAAATAGCTGGAAAAATCTGGATCTGGCTGGTAAATTTTCTTAAATTATGAAACACATTGGTGGACAAACAACCGGTTTCACTTCAATTCTGCAATGACACTTGGCTGATAAAATAATACAAAAGACTTGAGGGGAAACAGTTTTGGATTTAGGACAGGATGCTGTAATCCATCAGCCATGTTCACTGAGAGAAGACCCTTTCTTTGTCAGCAGCAGGGGTTCCTTTGCCTTGTGAGAAAACAACCCTTCCACTGCTCTGGATCATTGTAAGAATTTGCCTGACGTTCTTACCCAGAGCAGGCAGCAGTGCAGTGCCTTGCTCCAGGACAGTCTGACAGAACATTCAGCTGTACCTGGACCCATCAGCCGCTGCAGGAGGTGTCACCTGCCAGTCTCCA